TTGTGTTGTACGCGCACACGGCCCCCAACTGGCCGGTGTATGTATACAACCAAATTTGTACTAGTACGGTACTGTGTACAGCAACTCTGCCACATTCGGGATATGACAGTATACGTGCATAAATCATAATCGATGCGTTGTGTAAATGCCGATTGTATAACATGCATGGCGTCGACCTCACCTCATACAGTGCAAGTTGCATAGTACAGTACCAGCACCTAATTAATTGATTCTTGTGTATGAATCAAGTTATGTGCTGGAGCTGGAAATATTCTTGTGCTTTGATGTGCATTGGCATCACTTGTAGACACATGCGTGCATGCATTTTAATTTTTAAAAAGGGCGAGATGAGACGGTGGAAAAGAAAGGCGGGAGACAAAAGCGGGCGCACATGCATGCATGCATACATGGCGTGGGTGTGGAAGGAAAAATATGAGATGAGAACAAGTAAAGACGTGTGTACGCGTTTCGGGGCGCGTATGTACGTACGTACGTACGTGGTAGCTGGCTGGTGTAACATGGGGCATGTGCTACGTCGACGGGCGATTACCAAACCACATGCCCTTCCCAAATAGAAGTACTGGATTGAATCGTTTTCCTCCTGTCCCTTGCGCTGGAACCCTAGCCGTCGTCAGGAGACCAACCTTCCACCGCCGTCCTCCGCCGACGACCTCGGTCGTCAGTGGTGAGGGGGGCCGCCGGATCCACACGTGTGGATCGTTTTTACTCTCTCGTAGTTTGGATTTTTAGGTTTGTTCATCGTCTTCGTTTCGGCGGCAATGATGACAGCATTGAATAAAGATTCTTTGGATCCTTCCTTGACAAGGCCATCGGTCCTATGGTTGGGGATGAATTTGGAAACCAGTCTGTTCAAGCAAGGATGACGTGGCGGCGGCGGCATCCTCGTGGTGGACATGTGTCCTCGGGCTCCGCCGTTGCGACGGCGTTTGCTCCAGCGTCGACGCGGAGCTTGGGAGGTAGTCCAGGAGCGGATGCAGACTGTGGTCTGCATCGACGACATCTGGAAGACGGAACATGTGCTGAGTTCGTGGTTCGTGGATGGCAGGTATGATTTTCTTCCGCGACGTCTTAGTCGCGGTGGGGTGCAAGATCTGGAGTTCGATCGCGTGTCCGGGGTGTTGCCCCTGTCTGATTCGTTCAACGGTAAGGGCTTCACTTTTGATGAGCCATCTTGAAGGTCCGAAAAGCTGCATATCAGCGATGGAGCCGCATCGAACTCGGGTGAGGAGGTGATCCATCATTCTTTTTTTCGGTGGCTGCTGTCGTGGTGCCGGAGGCAGGTGATGGGCGTTGGTGTCAAGCTGAGAGATGTTCTGCTAGCTTTTCAGTTTTGTCATGTCAGTCCTTACGTGACTTGTACTTTAATCTTTATGATATGAATGAGACACGTATTACCATGAAAAAAAATATTACCAAACCACATGCAGCGCCGTACGCGCCGCCGGATTAAACTAGTAGCTTGCTTAATTATTAACCAGTTAGCAGGTGGATGGATCTGTGTGGAAGAAACGATTGATGCCGTTACCACGCGGCCATGGATCGACCGGGGTCACATACGGACGGTGGTCGGAGAAGCGTTGTCGGTCGGTCGGTCAGATTAGGCCATCTTCACCGTGCGACCCCAAACGGACGTCCGTTTTGTCCGTATTCTGTCCGTTTTGATAAGACAGTGGGGTCGTGTCCGGTCAGTTTCCAGGATGTGGTGGTCGTGCGCCCAGCGCGCGGACACATCCCGGCCACATCTTGTCCGCGTACATATTTCTTTGCAAGTCTTTAAACTTTTCTTTATCATTCATTTTTGATACATGACAATACATTATCACATTTTAACTAGTAAAGTAAGGCCAAAGAAAACGAGAATCACAAGAATACATTTGAGAAGATACCCAACTTCAATAACTGCTCCCTTGAGTTGGGTTAGGGCCTTCTTGATACACTCATTGTTGATCTGTGGAGGAGGCTCGACGTTGCACCCTCATTTCTTTTTCAAGCCAGAAGTCGATGTTGCTTCCTCACACGTAGTATCGTGCCTAGTCTCTAATCTAGCAACAAGTGCACTTGTCTCATCTATAGCCTTTAGACTAGTTAAAAGTGCACGAACATGTACCAAATTTTGCTCTCTCAATATATCGATGTACTCTTCTTCTCAATACCAAAACTTGCATCCATTCTACACAATAAAAACTTAAAGTTAGCACAATTAGTCTAATCTGAGAGCACAAACCGAAGCTAAAAAGAGCACATACCCCATCGTTTAAGCACTTGATGAACACCCAACCGGGATGCTCCGGTGTTGTAGACACGCGGTGCACGACCATCCTTGGGCAGTGGTCGCACTTGATGAGGGGCAACGGTGCGCCGACGAGCTTTTGGGCAAGCACCGAGCCCGGTCGGTCGCCATTCGTGTATCTGCCGGCGGACCACCGACGGTGCAGATCCGAACGGCTAGAGGACAAGCCACTGCCTGCAAGTGGCCTTGCGGCCCTGCCAGGGCCTTCCGGCGAGGTGCCCGGCCAGTCCATGGCGCGGCCCGGCCTCCCACAGCCGGGCAAGCTCAAGACCGACCGGATCCGCCTCAAATCCGGCCGGCGGGTGCGCAAACCAGGTGGACGTGGTTGGGTAGCTCGACGGCGACGAGGGAAAGGGGTTGGGCGAGCGCGCGTCCGAGTTGCATGGCTGCAATGGCAGCGGCGGCGGCGGTGGCGGCGATGGGAAGAGTGGGGAAGAGTTGAGAAGAGTGAAGTGGGGTGCGGCCGGAGAGAGGGAGGGGGCGGATAGAAAAAGACCCATCCTGTGCCACCAAGGGCGGGCCAGGGAAGGATACGCGTAGACGGCCGGGGCTTCCGCGTGGTGTCCGTTTCACCCCAAAAACGACGCAAACTTGAGCCGCGAATAGGTCGAAAGCGAACACAAAACAGACAAAAATCCGTTTGCTCCCGCGCACTAGACCGCCCGGTTTATCTATTTTATCTCAAACGGACAGACTCGAACGGAATAAGATCGCGCGGTGGAGTTGGCCTTAGCCGGCCTGCTTGCAACTGCAAAGTAAAGCTAAGGTGCCAGGCAACAGCTTCATTAACGCGGCTGCATGGCCATTATTAGGAGAAAAGAAATGTGCCTTCTTGATTATCGTTGTTAGCCCACGATACTTTTGGGCTGGTTAGCTTTACCCTAAAATTCCCACTGGCGTACGTGGCTAATCATGCGTCTCTGCACAAAGGTGACGGTGGCAGGCTTTCATTTCAAAAAAGAAAAATGCGGGTAGGCTTTCATCTGCTAATCACGAATTAGATTTTTTTTAAACATCAGTACAGACACAAGCGTTCACATACACACGCATACGCTCATCCTTATGAACACACACGCATACTATACCTTTATGAGCACCTCCGAAAGATTGAGTCGGCATATCATCTTAAGATTTACGAAGTCACTGTAGGCGTCTCGTCGTCGACGGGAACGTCTCCTCACACTGAATGCGCATCGTCGAAAATCTTGAAATAAATTCAGAAATAAATGAGAGCACCAGGGTTTGAACCTTGGTGGGCTGGAGATTTTTTTTGTTCTTTTGACAGGAGTGTTGGTGGTACGGAAAATGTGTTGGTCGGTGTTGTATTAACGTAGACACGCAGGGCTGGCTGTCGTTTCGGCGAACGGAATTCGTTCCGGTCAGCTTGTTTTTTTCGATACAGTATGTGCAGGGAGGGGATGGAGCACGTACTTCCTTCGTTCCGAATTACTTGTCTTAAATTTGTTTAGATACGGATGTATCTAAACTTATTTTAATGTTAAATACATTCATATCTAGACAAATTTAAGATAAGTAATTCGGAATAGAGGAAATATATATTTAGATTCGGGTGAGTACCGTATCTCTCCGTGATCGTAGATTGATATGTGCACGTTACGGCACGATGCGACCATCAGGTTCTCATTTGTTCTGATTCGACTCGACGGGTGGGTCGTTCTGTTCTGGTTTGTGGACTTTCAGAAATTTTATTTACGATTCAGAAACAGAGGTGTAGCACGCATGTGAGTGTGGGCCCGTTTCCGAAGACTATAGGGAGCCAGAGTGTTGACCCCTTCCCGCCACGCCCCTCCTCCAATCCATCCCTCCCGCCAAATCTCTCTCTATTTTCCCACCATGCAGGCTTTCTCAACATCATTTGGACTCCCTCTCCAGGCCCATGTGACCAAATCAGATCTTC